GTGCGACAATATTGCGTCGTAGATCTCGCTCAGATCGAGGGCACTGGGCCATGTGAAATTTTACCTAGGGGCTGGAGTGTTGAGCACTTGCCCCACTTATACTATAAAAGCAGGCAGTGCCCCAGTAGTTGCCACACAAGGGACACATGTTGTTGGACTGGTCGTACACTATGAGGCATCCGTGAGTTGCGGGAGTGCTGAGAATAGTATTGTTGGAATTATGTTGAGAGGAACTGCTGGAGCAAGGAGGTGGAGGCTGAGTCACCATTGCCACGAGTTTGGGGCACCCTTGGTGCTGGACCCGTGGCATGCGAGTTGAGGACCACTCCATTGGAGCAGGACCTTGTCCTCGAGGGAGCGACATTTTGGACCTGGTTTTGACCAGAGACCAGGTTTTATTATTTTTATGTTTGGATCTGGCTGACGTAGGGGTGCGTGTTGTCTGAGTGATCAAGCAACTAAGCTGTATCCGCGTGAGGAGGAGTGTTGTCGACCTTGTCGTACGTGGGCGTCGAGATGATTTTATGGAGGCATCGTGGGACAACTATTGGGTTTGGATTTGACGCCAAGGCGATGCTTTTATTATTTGGGGTAAGGATCACGGTCTGCGAGATGATAAGGTGGCGGTATTGCTCACCCACTTCTTGATGGTTCACGACGGTGACATCATTTATTATTCTTGAGGCAATGCAAGTGTACCATCACGGTTCAGAAAAGGTACCGAGTGAGGCACAGACTCAAGGGGGACTAACAATACAAGTTTATGGCAAAGCATTGAAAGGAATTCTTTTTGTGGTAAGAACGGCGCAAGTTCTTGATGTTTTAGCTCAGTGGAACCTTTGGTACCACTCAACAGCACCATTAAGACCACTTAGCGCCTCATGATGTCCACAAGTTAGTCGTCGTCACTACTGAGCCCAAGTTGGAATCACGCGACGTTGAGGGTTCTGTCTTGAAGTAAGTCGGTGGTCATCCTTTTTTAGGACTTGGCGGGACCAGTTGGGACCGACAAAGTCATTTGTGGGTTCTGGGACTTGACGAGACAAACAACGATTGCTCATCAATTATTGTGGTACAAATCACTTGTGATTTTGCCATTCGAGGTATTTTGAGAGCTCAATTGAAGTTCAAGGTTCAACTCGGTTTTCTTGGGTGAGCCAGTCGGCATTGGCGACACTTCACTCAAGGTCGGTTAATGGCTCAGACCCCCACACTTCCCACGTGAACCTACACTTTGCTCACCCCATTTCCTTTCTTTGAATGTTCAGCTGAAGCGAAAAGGTTTGATTGTGTGTGTTCAAACGTGCCAGTGAAGCGAGTGTAGTCTAACCCGGCATATGCCTTTATTTATTTTTGGGAACTCCTTTGGCTTGTTTCCAGGCGTTCGTGTGAAACTTGTCTGTGTGAGAGGGGCTAAGGCTTGCAAGCAAGTGTGGCGATTCTTGAAAAGTTTAAAATGTCTTTCTTGTTTATGGCTTTGTGAAAATCTTTGGTTGATTGAGGGTCACGAGGGGGAATATTGTCATTGATTTGCTTTCTTTATTTGGTTAGGACTCAGGAGATTTACGTATTAGGAAATCGATTACCCGGACCATTCATTATATTGCTGTAAGGTAACCGTCGTCTATTACCACAACAAAACTTGCTCGATACGGTGAAAAGGGCCATGGGTACCCTCTCCAAGTCTTTCGCCTGTTGCTCGGGCTACCACATGTGTAGGAAATGGTTCCAATAAGAGTGCACCTAACAGTCAGGTTTGACTTAATGAGTATCGCGGTGCGCAGAGAGAGGGCTAACATACTGAATTGGGGTAGGGTGAAGAGTACAATTTATATTCGCAGTGGTTCCCTCCCTACCCCCGAGGCCATAAACCAAGTGGCCACAAAGCAAGGGTTTAACTTGAACTCGGTCCACTTCATCTATTCATTTCTAACGGAGAGAGGCGAGCTTGGGGTCACGTTCTCTATTTATGTAAACAGGTCGGGACCAAGCCGTGATAGGATCCACCTTGTGTTTGAGCTGCTCACGCCTCGACTGATTGCTCGGCATAAACTCGACATCATCATATTTATAGTGCAACTTCTCCTACATTTCAGCTCATTATCTCGACCTGAAAATAGTAACGAGTGTATTTTGCGACCTTTCGTGGGCAGATGCACTCGTTTCATTTTCGTTTCGTGCGCCATGCGGCGAGACCCGAAGTCCTACTATAGAATGGTTGTATCTGATGTTGAAGTCCGTTTTGCAGTGAAAAAAAAAAACACCAAAAAACAAAAAAAAAGGTAAGCTATATTATTCACTCATCTATTTCATCTTCTTGGTAGTGCGCATCTGTCTCATCGGGCCCAGCGCCTAGCTCAGTTGCTGAGGCACACAAGTGGCATTCAGGAGGTCTTGGGTTCAATCCCCATTGGCCTCATGTACCTTCCTGGGCAAGCTTGGAGCCCCCTGGCCGGTATCGCCCACCTGTTGTAGCAGGTACCGCACCTGCTGGTGGGTGCAGCTCCCGCAGGTCCCCTCGTTGGAGGCTTGAGCACGGATGTGGCTGCTACGGGTTCCCCGTAATGACAATAAAAAAGGCCTGAAAAACCGTCTTGTCCAGATTCGACAGGTAATTGGATTGGTTGGGCTAAAAAAAAAAAAAAAAAATCTCTCTCATCCTCTCACTACCTATGTACAGTACGGATCTCTCCCCATCCCGCCTCTCGTTATTCGGACGGATCTCGATTCTGTGGGACGAGGTTCCCCTGGCAAAGAGGATTGGATTCAGCGCTTGAATCTGGACGTTTTAGAGGAGAGATGCAGAAAATCTCGATTGGTCTGCTTTTCTGCACCTTCACATAAAACACATCTAGATACAGGCGCTTAGTCCCATCCTCTTTGCTAGTGGGGAAAGAATCCACAACTCGGCCCGTATCGATCGGTACACGGCCTACAGGCAGGTAGTCTTTTGCCTGGACTCCGCCTGGACTCCGCCGTCGTCGGTATTTTCCCTCAATAGGGCGGAGGGACGGGGAAGAGGCGGCGGCGTAATAAGTCGGCAGCGAGCGGGGGCGGCGGCCTGAATGGGCGGGCGCGACGCGCACAACCTGGGCGGCAAGGGGTTTTCGCGAAAATCATGCCGCTCAGGTCCTGCTGCACCGCAGCACCACAGCACCAAATGTGAAAAAAAGACAAAACGAATGAAGAGGGTATCTTTCAACATTCTGGCTCCAGATGCACTGTCCATTGCCGAGCGTATCTTTCCACCGCCGACGCCCAGATGCTCTCTCCATTGCACAAATGCGGTGAGCAGTCCTACGAGCGTCTATGCCAAGACACAACGAAATGCAACGAAGAAAAAAAAAACAAAAACAAAAAAAGAGAAATGCAACGACGAAGCTTGAACGGAGAGCGCGCCACACGTTCGTCGGCGGCACAGACACACAAGTCCCCGCCACACGAACAGCGGGGTGTTCACTTTTTTGAAAAACCCGGGAGGCTTGCCGCCGTGTGTCGAGCATGGTACTACCAGGGGCCAACTCCCACTAGCAGCGTTGAGCTACCTCAACGCCTGAATCTGGACGTCTTTGTGGAGACGTGCAGTTCCGGAAACTCAACACCATTTCTGCCAATCTCCGCAAAAGAGTCCACATTCAGGCGTTGAGATAGCTCAACGCTGCTACTGGGACTTGGCCCCAGGTATTTTCATATAGAACCGACTGGTTGCACGTGCGACGGAGTGTCCCTGCCACGACTGCGCCGCCACGACTCCCAGAGACCCAGCGAGGTTCGTGCAGTGAAGGCTGTTTCTTTTTTTTTTTTTTTTTTTTTTTTTTGGGAGTGGTGAAGGCTACTATTATCGATCATCCATCGTCCGACCAGTTTAGTCCGTTTCCTGTCTAACTGTCTAACTAAACTACTGAGTCCCAGCCTTAGCCAGTTTCCGTCTTATTGATGAATGACAGCCTTACCGGTAGTCAGTGTCCCTCAAACTAAGGCTAAGGACAGCTATAGCCAGTGTCGCTCTAACTAACAACAGTCAGGTATAGCCAGTTTTGATCTAAACCCCTTTGTGACATCCTTAGACTCAGTTTCCGACTGGTCGCTAAGGACAGCTTCAGCCAGTTTCCATCTATCTAACCCACGAGTGACAGTCTTCTCTTAGTCAGTTTCCGTTTTTAAACTAATGACTAAGGGTCAGATCGCACTACCCTGGATTATTCATTTTTCACCCTCTATTACGAAGATCAACGGTCAGATATGAACAATAGGGGCTAGTGGGATCTGGCCCTAAGACACAGCTCTAGTCATTATTTTCCGTCCGTCCGTCCGTCCGTCCGACTAACGAAGGAATGGCAGCTTTAGTCATTATTTTCCGTCTGAATTGTAATTCTAACGAAAAAAATAAAATAAAAAAAATCTAACGAAGGAATGGCAGCTTTAGTGATTCATTATTTTCCGTCTGAATTGTAATTCTAACGAAGGAATGGTCCTCGCTGCACTACTCTGGAAATGTGCAAAACGAGGGTGAATCTTCCGCTAGAATATGGAAAGATACACGGCCATGATTTTTGTCTTTTGCGCATGTCAAGAGTAGTGCAGCGAGGCCCAATGACAGCGGCGGCTGTCTGAATTGTAATTCTAACGAATCACAGCCTCGGCGCCTCCTGTCTGAATTGCAATTCTTTTTTTTTTTTGTTTTTTTTTGTTTTTGTTTTGGGAATTGCAATTCTTTTTTTTTTTTGTTTTTTTTTGTTTTTGTTTTGGGAATTGCAATTCTAACTACTGACAGCTTCGGCGCCTGTCTGAATTGTAATTCTAGCTAATGACAGCTTAGGTAGACTCGAACAAAAGAGGCGCCAAAAAAACAAACAAAAGAGTCTCCTCTAAGCGGGCAATTCATTCTTCATTCCCATTCTCATGCAATATATAGCCTGCCTGGCTGAGCCATAGTTATCTACCATGCGGCGATCGCTACGTACTAGTGGCCTATTAACAGCTAAGCTCGGGATATGGGGGCGTAAGCACATCCAAGTTGTTGGTCGGTCGTTCGTCGTGGTCTCCTTCTCGCACGGAGCTGTTGCCTTGTTGTCGATCTCATTCGTCGAAGCTAAGGACGTAGTACATAGTCACAACAAGACTTTTGAGAACGCATCTGAGCGCAAATACGGTCACATTCGGTCCGGAACTTCAACGCGGCGATGAGCTTATCGACGGTCCAGGTGGAAAGGGAATCGGTGGGAGCGATCGAGGGCATCATCATGAATGGCCATCGAACGGTCATAGAGCATGATTGCTGCCACGCGGCGAACGCGGATGAAGTACTAGTTGCAGTAGCTGCAAGTGAAGCTCTACAGGTATAGCAGCAGATGGAAAGGAAAAAAAAAAGAAAAAAGACGAGCAACTCAGTCCTTTTCTTTTTTCCTTTTTTTTTGTTTTTTTTTTGGCATTTTTTTTTTAGCGAGCAAGCAAGTAAGTCCTTGTGAGCCGTTTCTTTCCTCGTGTAATGGGCGCCCGGTCGTCATAGCTGCACCTGGACTGAAAGTTGCCGCACATTCGGATATAATGACCGGCCATTCTATTCGGGTGAAGACGGTAGTCGCCGTCCGGCGCAATTCTGAACAGGGAATCTGTCCCTAATGCATTCACACTGATCATAGAACAGGGGAGAGGAGGGGGTGGGGGATCTTTTAACTGCATTTTAGTGCTTGCTGACTGCGCAGGTTTGTCGTGGCGTGACGTGCGTGTTCTTCTCACAGTCGATGAGTGCCCTTCGTTTCTGCCTACTTCCCCCTTATATACAACGTACGGTCATTATCGCTGTACTTGGGGCATCTTTCAGTCTAAATACAGCTATAATCACCGCGCGTTGTATTCGGGGGCAGAAGATAGTGTTTTCCGAAAGGAAGTCAGGGGGTTTATCGTGCCATGCGGGGTCTTCTTAGACTAGTAGTAACCAAACACAGACGTCATCTTCTCTTCTCTTGTGCTATTACACTTCTCGCTTAGTCAAATGTGTGGCGTCTGTGTTGGTTGTGTCTATGGTACTTTTTTTTTTTTTTTTTTTCCCATCTCTATTAAGACTTTTGCCTGTTCGCTCCTCACGATTTTTTTTTTTTTTTAATTATTATTTTTTCTTCTTCGATTTTTTTTTAATTATTATTATTATTTTTTCCTTCTTTATCTGTTCTCGTTGAGCTCCTTTCATCTTTGTCTATGACCTTCTTCAATTTTGCTTCTGTTCGTGGTGCCTGGTCTGTGCTTACGCGTTTTCAATTTTCATAACCTTTCTTGCTTGTTCGCCTGATTGTCGTCGACTCGCGTGTACCATGTTGATTGTCGAATGCCGTAATGACACGTGTATATGATTTAATTGCTATTGCTTCCGTGCATGATTTGATTGTACGTATTTTGTAAAATTTTGTATTGCTTCTGCGATCGACACATTGCCAAGTCCGCTCGTCGGATGTTGAACTTTTTTTTTTTTTTTTTTTTTCCCTTTCCTTTTTTGGCTAATGTCTGTTCGTCCGAGTCTGTATATGGTTGATCGGTATGGCGATCCCATTAGGAATCATGGGGCAATGTCATGTGAAAGTGCGCGCGGAGAGCGATACAGCAGCAGTAGTATTGCCTATGTGCTTTTTTTTTTTTTTGGG